ATGGAGGTCACGCAGGGAGTCTCAGCTTAGCAGCTAAGACACTTGACAACTGTTGCATCCCATCGATCTCAGGCGCTCTCCATGTTTGGGAGGATACCGGAAGAATACGTCCCCTCCACAGACGTGCCATCATCCCTGGATCGCTCTTGGATCCGACTCGGTGCACTTGTAGCTTATGCTTTCGGGTAGACCCCCGCGAGTAGGTGATCTGCTCCAAGGCTGTTACATACCATCCATCTCCGTCCCACTTGCCTCTCGAGACCTTACCGCGCTACTTGTTTGTCTTCTCTCCCCTCTATTCTACCTCAAGGCAGGCCTTTGTATTATTCGCTTCTTCGAATTGTATTCTTCTCATGTCTTTCCGACTCGGACTCTTTAATTAGCAGACAAGCCTCCCCGGTTCTGCGGTCTTGGAAATGGTCTTTTGAATCACCCTCCAAGCACAAATCACGATTCCTCTGAGGAGAAAAGCAAGGAAAGGGCGCCCTCCTATCGGGTGCTTGAAGTAACGACATCGTGGCGACCTTCGGAGGTATTGACGATGCTGAGGGGAGAGGAAATGGCGCCTTACATTGATGACTGGCGCAAGGAGGTACGACGATGGGCTGGCACCGACCTCATGAGGAGAGAGCCTCAAGACGACACGGGGAAAGGTCGGGGACGGCCGAACACTAAAAGCAACCGTGATAATAGCGACGGAAGTGGAGGTGGAGGCGGCGGAGGTCGAGGAGGTGGGTCGGCCGGGAACGGGAACGGCAACAGTCGTGCATCAGCAGGAGACGGGAGGGGTGGCGGCGCTGGCTTTGGTGGAGGCGGAGGAGGTGGAGGAGGTGGGGGAGGCGGGGGAGGCGGAGGAGGACGGGGTAATGGCGGAGGCGGCGGCAACGGTGGCAGTGGACGAGGTGGAGATGGCAATGGATCAGGAGGCGGCGGAGGAGGTCGGTTCAACGGCAACAGCAACAACGATAATAATAACGCCAATAACGACAGCACCGACAAGAAGAATAGTAACAGCGGCGACAACAACGGTGATGGGGGGAGGAACAAGAACACAGATAACGGCAAAGGCGGGAACAACAGGGGCACATCTCCCCCGGTCGCGTTCTCACCCCAGGACACGACTGCACTACCTCCACCACCACCGGACACAGCCAGCATTGATCCTGCGGCCACTACGGACGCGCCCAACTCAACAGACTCCCCGAGCCCAACAGACTCCTCGAGCTCGACGGACCTTCCCTCTCCAACAGATACTTCGAATGCCACCCCCGACCCGAGTACTGTTGTACTTGTCTCTACCGTAACCCCTGCCCCATCGGCAGCTGTAAGCATATTTCCTCCACCGCTTTGTTGAACATGTACTCACCGGATGTCCAGGCACCTGTATCAACAACCTTCATTCCAATAATGACCACGACATCTATACCCGAAACTGATCCATCTGCGCCGAGGAAAGGTTTAAATGATCCAGCTTCGCTATCCGGTGACCCGGCATCCTTGTCGGATCTTATAACCGGCACAGCTCTGGCCGACACGAATCCTACATCAACCGCTCTGGCAGTCAGTGCAGGGATAGGGGACAACAGCTCTAACAACACCAATGGAGATAGGAACGGTGATAGGAACCGCGGCAACGGCAATAACGGGAACCGGAATAAGAATAACAATAACAACAGCAATGACAAGGGACTGGATCCGGTGGCTGAGCGCGTACTGATCTCAGTCGGTTCTATAGGTGAGATATGGTGCTTTGACGTTCATGTCTGCTAGAGTTGCAGCTGACAGTGGCTCTAGGCGGCTTCATCTCGATATGCTTTCTTTTCTGGATTGTCTGGCGGATGATGAAGAGGTCAAAGGCCAAAAAGAACGGCGGGATTAGTCCTCCTAGCAGCAGGCGATGGCCGAGGCTGGTGCTGCCAGACCGTGTCCTTGCCAAGATTCCTCTCCTCAAAAACCGGCAGCGACAGTGGCAGAACCTCGACGACTCCAGCGTCACCGGTCTGTCTCCACCAAGCTACAAGTCAGGAATGGCACAAGCAGAGCCGGTGAAGGAGTTCTACGCCCAAGAGAAGACATATCAGCTACCGTCAAGGCGACAGTCCATGGACCAGTCAACAAATGCGCACATATTAAACTCTCCCTCGGCACAGAACCCGCCAAATGTCGCCTTCACCAACAATCCGCTTACTCTTAATACAAACATTCCACCATATTCTCAGCAGCCAGCGCCGGCTCAGAACGCGCCAAGTTTCGCTTATACCAACAGCCCACTCTCTCTCGACACAACGATTACGCAACCGTGGTCACACCAGCCACAGCAATCGTTCAGCTCGACCAATGCTGCTCAGTTTGGCGGTATGCGGGCATCGACTGATGAAACCGAGACTCTTCGATCTCGTATGCCTGATGCCTACTACAATCAGTCCGAGCTCGCACGCGGGCCCTCAGACGCATATGATCCAGCAAGGCGGCAGGTCAACCGAGCATCTCAGCTCTCATCTATATCGTCAGGCTTTGGAGACGGAGACATCATCATGCCAGACAACATGATCAAGCCCCCACAACCTGCAAGCACCAACCTGCGACAGTCGACCAACCTAGTCGGACGCTTCTCGTGGGTGTCCCAGAGCGCGCAGAGCCGGAGAGATACGATCTACACACAGTCGAGCGAGGACTTGCCGCCGCGGTTCCGCAATGTCAGCTCGTGGGTCATCCAGCAGACAGGGCGCGTCAAGCGAGCACAGCAGAGGCATGAGGAGGGACAGGATGCGCCGCCTGTGCCTGTTCTCTCGAGTCAGCAGGTGGGCGTCCCGGGCATCCACAACCCGCCGGCTGAACAGTCGTTCAACATGATGATGGGGGATGACGAAGTGCCCAGGCGAGTCGAAGACACCTTGGCATCGCCGCAACGATGATTGCCTGAGGGGTAACATCGGCCATGGGATGCTGGCAGGGCGGGCGTGGACCTTGCAGTGATACACAGAACTGATTCGCAATCACGAACCGAGTTCGAGGGTCGGGGAGACGGAGGAGATGATATAACACTCTTTTACTTATTATATCTCCATTACTGTACATAGTTTCACATGACGTCACGGCCGTGAGATATCAGTCTCTACCATGCCCTTCAAGCCTGGCGCTTGGGAGGATGAGGTTTGGGATGAGTCCCGGCGCCTCTCATGACCTTTACTTTGTTTTATTTCCCCTGGGCCCTAACTCAACGGGTGGTTCATTGGTGTTAGCCTGGGACGTCCGTAGGAGGACAATCAAGGGAATACATGGACACAACAGAGCTCGTACATGCCTTGAGGCCTGAAAAACGCGTGTAAGGTGTGTGTATCAAGGCGATACAGCATCAAGGTACGTACCTGAGCTGGTAGTACACAGTAAAAGCCGAGTCAAACCGCCAGATCTCGAACCTTTGCCAGCTGCAAGATTTGAATCAACAGACTTAACCGAACATAGACTAGCGTATTTTGCCCCGCCAAACTCTTGCTGCCCCTCCGCCGCATCTTTTTTGCTCCCCTCTCTTGATTTCAACCCACTTTTTATTTAGTACAGTGCTCTCTCTTTGCAGACTTGAGATTTTCTACCCAAGATCACTTTGTGCCACTACCAACCTCCAACACCACCACTCTTTTTCTCACCGTCACGTCTCTAAATCGCCAACATGATTATCTACAAGGTGAGTGCATTGCCGGGCCTACTCTGGGCCTCCACGTGGGCCCCCTTGTTATACCAGGAGTAACGGTGGCTGACCCCGCATCAACAGGACGTTATCACCGACGACGAGATCATCTCGGACTCGTATGACCTGAAGGAGGTCGATGGCATCGTCTACGAGGCCGACTGCGCCATGATCACCGAGGGCGCCGTCGAAGTTGGTTAGTTTCGCCCATCAACCGACGAGGGATAGACATTGGGGGCACGGGGCTGGACTCTAACTCGATGATCTGTACAGATATTGGCGCCAACGCTTCCGCCGAGGAGGCTGAGGAGGGTGTCGAGGACACCTCCATCAAGGTCAACAACATCGTCCACTCGTTCCGCTACCAGAGCACCCAGTTCGACAAGAAGTCCTACCTGACCTACCTCAAGGGTGCGTTTTCACGAGACCTTTCCATATACCGATCCCTTGGAGAGCACCAGACTAACACGGTAAACACACAGGCTACATGAAGGCTGTCAAGGCCGCCCTCCAGGCCGCCGGCAAGGACGAGTCAGAGGTCAAGGCTTTCGAGACGGGCGCACAGAAGTACGTCAAGGAGAAGATCCTTGCCAACTTCAAGGACTGGGAATTCTACACCGGCGAGTCGATGAACCCGGACGGAATGTGAGTTACATCACACTCGACCCGACCAAATCGAGTCAAGTCAGATCACAACAAAGTATCACATGCTAATACTAACTTGTACAGGGTCATCCTCCTCAACTACCGCGAGGACGGCACCACGCCCTACGTCGTCGTCTGGAAGCACGGCCTCAAGGAGATGAAGGTGTAAAAGACGCCACTCTCCTGTTGCACGTGTGGTGGTTTTTTTCCTTCTTCCCGTCCAAGAAAAATAAAAAGAAAGCGCCCATCCCGCACTCTCAAACTTCCCCCCCTTTGGAGATGCGTGGAATCTAAGATCTACCAGTTAAGAGAAATTGGTGTTCATGTTTGGCGTTTTACCCTAGCAGCGAAAACCCGTCAAGACTCTTCGGTCTCTGACCGCATATAGAGAATGTCTTCCTTTTTTGTCCTCGTATGACTACTGCTGCTGATCCCACAACCTTGCAAAACGTGATTCTTTGATGTGCCTACGCTTGACGTGGTTATCTGATAGAACCTCAGTCCACTGATCAAGTGCATAGAGCCCCTTCCTATACGACTTGTAGTGGATTGACACAATAGTAGCATACACCATCCCTAGGAACCAAAGAGCAAAAGTTGTAACCTCAACCGACCACACCCATCTTCTACTCCTCCCCTCGGTGCTGCACGAGGGGCAAAAGTAAATTGATTAGAGTGGGATTCGAACCCACGCCCTTTCGGACCACGGAGATCACAGAAGTCTGTTAGTTGTTTTAAGGGGTTATGAGACCTTAACGTGGCGCCTTAGACCGCTCGGCCATCTAACCTTGTTCGTTATCAATTGGTCTTCCGGTGTCCACAAAGAGGGGGTCCAAGCCTCCATCCAGCTCTTGCTTTGAGAGTGAGGCAGAGGGGGAATCACGAGTCAGGGTATACCGCCCGTGGCCGACCAGGCTCAGAATTGAGGTCTGGTTGCTAACGGTACGGGAGGGGGAGGGGGTGCATCGCCGGCTCCTTGGCTCGCGGCGCCTGCTCTGCTGGCGGCCACCAGGGCCGGTTTCTTTGCCGGTGGTGGTGGAGGAGGCGGCTTCTTCTTGCCGACTAGCGGAGCCGCTGCCGTGCCTGGTGCGGCGCTTGCTTGTGGTGGAGGGTGAGGAGGTGTGGCTGCCCTGCCACCGCTTGCGGCTGCGTTCACCCTGCCGGCGACGGAGCTGAGCTGCTCGCCGTGCCGCTGGTGGAGATTGTTGAATGTCGCTGCTGCTGATGCTGCGTCCGAGGCTGATACGGAGGTGGGGTCTTTATGAAGGGAGGAGGCGGTCTGGAGAGCTGCGCGTTTCTGGGCCCAGGTCGTGCCTGCTCCTGCTGTGCTCTGTCCAGGTGCTTGTGGGGATTGAGGAGAGGTTGAGGTAGTTGAGCCGATGCCGAAGCCGGGCACGGATATCCCTTTCGATGAGAGACTACTTATGGCGGATTGGTTGAGATAGCCTTGTGGTTGGGCTGCTGCTTGTGAGGTCCGAGCTGGCGGTGGTGGGGGTTGGGCGGGAGAGGTTGGTGTGCTGGTACGGGGCGGCAGTCGGGGAGGAAGTGATGGCGGTGCAGGTTTTGCGTAGACATGTGCCGGTGGGGGAGAGGGCGTTGATGTGGCGCCGCCCGGCCTTCGGACTGGTGGTGGTGGAAGATGAGAGGTTGAAAGACCGGTTGTGTCGATACGGTAGGGCTTTGGGGCTGGTGGCTCTTCTGTAGGCTGCTCGTGAGCGTGAGTTGTATGTGTGCTCGTATAGCTCTGATGTGCAGCTCCGGCAGCTGGTGGCCTGTAGGGCTGTCCTGGAGGAGGGGAAGGAGTTGCGCCTGTCGCGACGTGTTTTGGTGGTGGAGGGAAGGATGCCGGATCGCGAAGAGAAGTTATCGGTGTTGGTGTGTGGTACGTCCTCTCTTTCTGGGAAGACGAGGCGTCAGCGGAACTCGCCTTGATAGCGGCCGGGAGTTAGACTTACTTTATCGCCTTTGCCAACAAGACCTTTCTGCGCATATAGTCAGCGTGCCTGAACCGAGGAGAGTGAAGGATGGGCGAACACATACTAATGAGTCCTTGATCGGCACATCTTTGTCGGGATGCCACCCATGCTTGACGATATCCTTCAGGCCCGACATCTTGTACGGTATGTAACTGTAGGGCAAGGTCCGTTACCAGTGAAGCAATGTCCCTAGACAGTGTGCTGCAGAGTCGGATGATAGTAACGGAATGAGAGCCGCGGCCATCACCGTGTAATTGGACGGGATGACGTATAAGTTAATAGCTCAGCCCCCAATGGAACCTCAACCAATTGGCGCCTAGCGATTCAGGCACTCAGCTGAACGAAAACCCCCACCTACCTTATTGCGACAAACTCCGGCGCAAACGCGTCTTCAAGCGCGTCTCCCGTCTTTACTCGACCAAACTTCAGGTTCACTTCAGTCAACGACCTGTGTCTCAATTCGCGGCCCAAACGATGGCATCAGCAAACTCCGACACTGTTCTCCTGACAGAGCACTTCGGCTACCCGCCAGTGGTCAGTACTTTGCCGGAAACCCCCCCAATTACAGACCCGTATTCTCCTAACATAACATCGTGGGACAGAGCTTGATAGACGACATAATAAACAGCATCAACCAGCTCGCCGAGCGCGCCCTCAGCAACATAGAGCAAAAGCTCCTCGAGCTGCCCCCCCACACCATAGGCTTCAAGGCCGCACCTCCTCCGCCCCCCTCCAAGCCAACCCGCTCATCCCGCAACAATGCCGCCAGCACCGAACCCCCCGCCGAGTCCTCCTCCATCATCGCGCTCTCCCCGGAAGAAGCCGCCCGCCACGAGATCGAGAACGGCACGCACCAGCTGGAGACCCTCCTCTGCTCGAGCATAGACCGCAACTTCGACAAGTTCGAGCTGTACGTCATGCAGAACATCCTGTGCATCCGGCCCTCCGAGCCGCGCGAGTGGATCCGGCTGGGCCACTACGAGGGCCTGGACCTGGACGCAGTCGCCGGCAGCGGCCCCGGGTCCGGGGAGGGCGGCGGCGGCGGCGACGACGACGACGGACGGCCGAGCGTGGACGGGGTCCGGAGGCTGCGGAGGCGGTTGCAGGCTAGCCAGCAGCTCAATGCCATGTTGCACGCCGAGCGGGCGAGGAATAGAGCCCTGCTTGATGCGCTGAGGGGGGTGGTTGGTAAACCCGGGACGGAAAAGATGACCGAGGAGGGTGGACCGACGACGACGACGACGACGACGACGGGAGAGCCGAAGATGGAGGTCGATAATGATAATATCGATCTGAGCGCGGCGACTAGGCCACCCTTTGGTTTCCTGCATGACACGGGTGGTTTGGCGGCTGGGGCGGCGGATAAGCCGCTCGAGACCACGACGGCGTTCACGCTCAGCCAGCTGCAGGCCCTGAGGGCGCTGTCGACGAGCTTGAGGAATATCATGCCTGATCTGGAGGGTGAGAGGGAAGAGGACGACGACGACAGCGGCGGGAGGAAGACCTGGAGGAGGGAGAGGCTGGAGTACGTCGAGACGGCGACGAGGAAGCACCTCGAACACGCGCGGGGCTTGGAGCTGGGCAAGGACGGCGAGGTGAGAGATGGCGAGTGGCAGGGCGAGGGGAGGAAGCTGGCTAAGGATGAGGTCGAGGGGTTGGAGAAGGTTGCTGCTCTCCTCGGCGGCGCTGGTTCTGGGTCTGCATCGAAGGGAGATGAGATGGACGAATCGTGAGCCCGAGCCCCTAACTCTCTGGCTTGGCTGTCATGAGGAGTCTTTACGGGAAGGGTATACGGTGTTTGGGTCAAGGCGGATGGTCTTGTTCAATGGCTTGTGACGTTGCATGATAATGATCTACTATGCCCCGATCTTGGAGCTCGTATCTGAACGTATTGTAAAATATACAGTTTTCCATGCATTCCTAAGCACTATACCCTCGCAAAGCTAAGTCCGAAGATCCTCCCGCGGAAAGCCATAGTCCTCGGCAAGATGCCAGAACCTGTGCTGCCAGAATCTCGGATTCTTCCCGGACCGCTCCTCGTCCGGCTGATCCTTGCCCTTCTTCGCGAAGTCGATCACCCTCACGACGGAACCCGTCTGTCCGCTGCGGCCGAGCACGAGCAACAGCTCGTAGAGCGTGGCGTGGGAGATCTTGGACCCGGACTTCTCCATCTTGTCGAAGATCTGCATCGCCCGCGCGATGTCGCCCACCTGGCAGTACCCGAATATGACCCTCTCCCAGAACACCCGGTCGATGTCCTTGTTGTCGTGCAGCCGCCGGTTCTCGATGAGCGCCGTCACGGCGTCGGTATCCGGCGGGCTGCGGGTGAAGTAGTGGTCCGCCAGCATGGTATAGATGTGCGACGTCAGATCCAAGCCCTGGCCCCAGATGTGAGCCAGCACCGCCTTGACAGGCTCCTCGGCCCGGTCGCCCTGCTGGAGAAGCAGGTGGATCATCTTGGCGTACAGCTGCATGTTGGCCGTGACGCCTGCGTCGCGCATGGTGCGGAGGAACGTGTTCACCGTCTGTATCTGCTCCTGGGGAGTCTGGCTCCCGATGTCCTCCAGGGCTCCCTCGAGGAGGATGGCGAACGTGGCCACGTCCGCTTCGAGATTCTGCTTCTTCATCGTCCTCAGGAGATTCTGCACCTCCCCGTCGAGGCCTTGTTTGAGGAGCGGCCGCAACAGGGTGTTGAAGGTGTAGATGTCCGGCTCGATGCCCTGCTTAGCTGCCCACGCAAGCAAGCCGCTGGCCGCTCCCGACGAGAGTCGTTGGAGTCGCAGCAGCCCTGCAAGCGCGGCATTGACGGGTTCTATACTGGGCTTGACGGCGGCCGGGCTCCTCTCGGCCAGAGGTAGCTTCTCATTCTCTTTCCACAGCCGCGCCATCTCCTCCAGCGCAGCTAGACCCTCCTCTGGGCTGCCCAACTCGATCAGCCCTGAGACTCTGGCCGTCCATATGGCCGGGTCCAGCTTCATATTGCTCGCGATCAGCTTGCTCCACACGTTCTTCAGCCCGAGCATGTTGTTGGCTCGCTTGCAGCCGTCAATCATGGAGTTCCAGGTCTTGACTGTCGGTTCGATGCCGATGCTGACCATGGAGTTCCACACCTCGATGGCTCGGCTCGGCTGGCGCATGGCCATGTAGGCCATGATGAAGTAGTTGAACAGCTCGGGATTCTCTCGGCACTGCTTGAGCTTTGCGTCTGGAGGCGTCGCGTAGGTGCCCCAGAACTCCTCCCAAGCCCGGTTGAGCACCTTGGGGTTCCATGTGTTCCAAGCCTGACCGAGTTGGCGGTGGAGCTTCCTCGTGAGCTGACTCCCTTGGCTATCTTCAGCTCCGTCGGCGGTATCCTGAAACTTGGATTGCTCGTCGAGCTGCGTCTCCACCGCAGACCAGCGTTCCGTGATGTATTTCAGTAGAGCCGGATGCTGACCGTAGAGAGAGTCAAGGTCCTCTCGACCAGGACGGTTATGGAGTAGGGCGGCAGCCATGGCATCCACGAAGGGTGCAATCTCGTGCCTAAATACCCGATTCGTCCTGTTGATGGGGTCTACGAGGAGCACGTACGTTGCAATGGCCGCTGGTATGGTCATGCGGAGTTGTCGAGGATCGTAGTGTGGGAAGAGAGATGCGATCGAGAGATGTGGCTTGCCCCGGCGACTATTGTGAGCTACGTGCCGCCGGTCGAGAGACGGTAAGCGAGCGGCGGAGGCTGCCTTGGCGCCGTCGCCGGTGCGAGCTGCCACGAACGGAGGCACGTTGAACATCTTCCAAGCGCCGACCAGATCGTGGAGCAGCGTGTCTCTCCT